CCCCAAAACCCCAAAACCCCAAAACCCCAAAACCCCAAAACCCCAAAACCCCTAAATACCGGTAGTAGGTGGATTTAATAAAATTTACTCTGATAGAGAATAATGGGACCCTACTTATCAACCCCTGATAAAACTAAGCGTAGTGAAGATGGCGTTGCTTCTAAAGTAAGTCCCTATCCTAATATTGGTGGATTGGTGTTGTTTTGACATGCTTTTTGAGATGATTTGCTTGTATATTGAGGTTAAAATTAAACAGAAATGTTGTTAAATACTCACTCTTTAGCTCAGATATGGAGCCACTGGAATGCAAGGATGGAGAAACACCATGGAAGACTCTCATATTGCTCATATTATGGATGAAACTCCTGGTAAGTACAGATTTCTAACCCCTTTTCCAACTTTTTGTCGAGTTAAAAGCACTTCATATCTAAAAATTTACCTATCTATTAAAAATAAGATAGAATATGAATTTCTTCGAAGAGTATTTTTTAAACCCGCCCATGCCTACAAGATGTAAAGGTCCCAACAGGGTTGTCTATGATTGGACTACCCTTAGCCAGCCTGCCAGGTGTCTTCTACCTCCCACTAAAATTTTAACATGCGTTACATATTTTGACACTCTATGAAATGTCGCTAACAACTAATTTAGGCAAAGAGCTTTCTATGTTTGGAGTCTTCGATGGCCACGGAGGAAACCAGGTCGCAGAATGGATAAGAGACAACTTCGCTAAAGAGATGTTCAAGTTCGATAGCTATTCGAAAGGAGACTATAAGACAGCCTTGAGGGAGACCTTCATTAGAATGGACGAGCTTTTAAAAACATCTACTGTGAAGAAGGAACTAGAGAAATACACTGTTGGCTCAGGTGAAGACGGAGGTATGGGAGCCATGGGAGCTATGGCTATGGTGCAAGATCAGGATATTGCTAAGTCTGTAGGATGCACTGCCTGCGTCTGTATTATTACCAGCAAAGAGGTCATCTGTGCTAACTCAGGAGATTCAAGAGCTGTTTTGTGCAAGAAAGGTGTAGCACATCCTCTGAGTGAAGACCATAAGCCAGAGAATACTGAAGAGAAGGAGAGAATCGTTAAGGCCGGAGGATTTGTCGAGGAGAACAGAGTCAAGGGAATGTTGAATCTTTCAAGAGCCCTTGGAGATCTTGAGTACAAACTTGACCCAGACCTTTCTGTTGAAGACCAGATGATCACCTGTGTTCCAGATATCAGATCAGAGAAGATAGATAAGAACACTGAATTCCTCATCATTGCTTGTGATGGAATCTGGGATTGTCTCACAAACCAAGAAGCTTGTGACTACATCCATGAACAATCAAAAATCTTGAAAAAGAAGACTGGAAGCATGTTCAAATGCTCTTTCTTGAACGAAAGAATGTTTGACAAAATCATCGCCGAAGATATTGCTGCTTCTGGAGGTTTAGGATGCGATAACATGACCTCTGTTATCATCAGCATCAACGATAAAATCTAATTTTCACAATTAAATTCTGAATGCAAGATATTATTGTTTTTCTCAATTTGAAAATACAATTACGGGGTTTTGGGGTTTTGGGGTTTTGGGGTTTTGGGG